TTTGCTATGCGTGCGTGCGTCTCGCTCTCGCGGTCTCTTATGCGCGCGCGCGCCTTAATTGGCTTACGTCGGTGTACGCGAGCCGCCTTATTAAAACAGCACGAGACGATCCGCGACAGTGCGGCCACTGTTGCCGCACTCGATCGTCGTCGTCGTCGTCGGCCTGCAACCCGGAGCGCGCCGACGACGACGCCGCGGCGTTACGCGATTTTCCGTTCGCGATTAACACGCGCGCGCGCGCGCGCGCGCCATTCTTCCGCCACTCTCGTCATCCAGCCTGGGAATTCCTCCGTGCGGTTCTATCTTTAGACACCGCTTAACTTTCTTCCGCGAGATTGCCTCTCGCAACCTGTCTCCCGCTAACGAGTCGCGGAATCGATAACGGCGATAGCGATTGATGACGGCCTGCAATAATCGGGGAGATCCGAGGAAAAAAAACGTTGATCTCGATGCCCGGCAGAAATCGACGCATATTGCGGAAGCCGCACACGCACAGCAGCCGCGTCGCAAGAAACATCCTCGAGTGCGTTTTCGCGGAACGCGATTGCGAGCCTCCCGAGACTCGAGGAAGAAACGGCCTGGTGGACGAGGGGGCCGCGAAAGCGCTGGGAATCGCGAGGCGCACCGGGTAGGGGGGAGGAAAGGTGGGGCCCGAGACGAGGGCCGAGCAGCGAGCGAGCGAGCCAGCGAGAGCCAGCCGTGGGTCCCACGGCCGAAAAGGCTGCGTGATTCGCGTCCCAGACGAAGGCACGAGCGGCGAAAGGTCGAATGAATGACCGAGCGAGCGAGTGAGCGAACGTGAAGCGACGACGACTCGGCGCATCGCATCGCATCGCATCGCATCGCATCGCGACGGGAATTCGCGTGAATTACGTGAACGTCGAACGAGAGAAAAGAGGGAAAGGAGAGACTAGGAGGAGACGAGGAGGGAGGGCTCCGCGGCGACGCTCAGTCGCCGAAACTCGCGCGTATTTTTAGTTTAACTGCGCTAGCGGCGAGCTGGCGAAACTCGCACGCGATCGACCTCTTTCTCCGCCGCGCCGGCCGATTCGCTCGTTTCCTTCCTCCTTTTCTCTCCCCCTTCCTGCCTATTACGCGCGG